AAAAGTACAGATATGTTTTAACAGTGAAGACAGATTATTCTTAATATTCCACGAACATCGCTCTTTAGTATGTGTGCATGCAAAAAGTCGAATTTTGCATAATGTTTCATCCGCCTTGCCCATGACAAGCATCTTGTCAGTGTTTTTATTTTGACAGCTTTTATTGTGTTCATTAAGAAAATAGAAAAAGTTCTCTTCTTTGTTGACCTCGCATATTAGTTTTCATCACGACAAGGGAACATAACTTTTTGTGCCATTAACTCTGATTATTAGATTAGTAGTTGTAAATACCTCCGCACTGACAATAAGCTGTTAATTATTACCATGAGCTGTTAATGACCGTTATTTGGTTTAAACATGGCTTGTCGATTGTAGAAATTACGTTCATGAGCCGCAAAAAATATCAAACCATAAACGTGATGAAACGCAGTATATTGCAAAGTTGGATGCACTTATGATAAAAAAAAACGCCACAACCACGACTGTTGACGCCAGTTAGATCTTGCTGAGTTTTGCGCGTGGGTGAAAAAAAAAACGCAAAGACTAAGACCGTAAAACCAAACAAAGCTTTGGTGACTTTTGCCCGAGGGTGACAAAAATTTCATTATTTGCTGCATTTCTGTAATCACAAGCTCCCTCTGCGCAAACTTTAGGTAACTGCGATCGTATGTAATCCTCAGCCCAAAAATTCTGGGTGACTATACTGTATTTACCGGCCGCTCCGTCAAACTGATAGAGTTTGAAAAAAGGATAGAAAAAGAAAGATAGAGGGTAAAAAAAAAACGCAACGACGAAGACCGTAAAAACCAAATTAAATCTCGGTCAGTTTTGCCTGAGGGAAATAAAGTGTTTGTTGCTACATTTCTGTAATCAAAAACATGCGATCGTGTGTAATCCTAAGCCAAAATTCTTGGATACTACACCGTATTTACCAACCACTCCATCGAGCTGATAGAGTTTTCATGTAACAGACCTAATTTAATCTCCCAGTCCTTTCGTGAGTAATACGTTTTTACGAGATCTATAACGGAAAAAATTCCTAAACTATTTTTTCGACGCTTATCTTATATTGCTGTTTCCGCAACTTTGTGTTTGATTAAACCGCATAACAAAGAAAAATACTTCTTACGGGGACAGAGATGATTTCCGTGACGCAATACAACTCTAAATTAGACGCACATATAACAACAAACACTAAAGATGCAACGAGCACGACCAAAAACACCAATTACTTTTTGTGAGTTTTGCCCGAAGAAAATAGCTCATGCTGATATTGCAAGAAAATAGCTCATGCTGATATTGATAAGATCGTTAAAGGACTGACCGCTCACAATATAACTTGGTCAATGATATCCTCGCTTATAACACGAAAGCGATCTCACTTGTTGATTGCGAATAAAGGAAATGATACTCCGCATTTCTTTAATCAAATTTTAATTTCTCAGTGATTGCTTGGCTTTATCCACGATCGTAGCGGAATTGTAATCAAAAGCACAAAACATGAATTCGTTTGCGCGTTTATCAGACAAACGCACCCTCCAATAGCTATTGTTTATCTTTTTGTAACGGTTAATGTCTCCTGGCCCAGACGTATCATTTTCGACATGTAAACAGCTTAATCTTTCTAGATGGGTTTCCCGTCAGTTGATAAGATATTCTATTTTAAGGATAACTCTTTACTTTTCGAATTAAGAAAGTGTGGTTTAGCATGATCATATCTTCGGTGAGCCAGATGAAAATTGAACTTTGACATGTGCGAAAACTTTCGCTGTGTTTCCCTTGATAAAAAAATCTATAGGAAAGCCAAACAATTTAAGGGATTGGTTCTGAACGTAGCTGTTGTTGCTTTTGTTCCTACAAGAATATGATGTTAACGTCCGTCGGTTTGTCTCAGCGAACAAAAGAGAACGGGGTCAAAGCGGAAGTCGTAAGCTCGATCGCGGAAAATAAAGCACATGAAACTCTCTGTCGTACTTGTCTTGCCTCCGCAAGGTGAAAACTTCAAGTGTCGCTACATTTTTGTAATCAGAAGTTTTTAGTCTGTGCGCAGTTAAAAAGATGGTAAATAAGAGGAAATTCCTTTTACATGTTGTGTTCTCAAAACGCACCCGATTGTCTTCGGGTTGAGATACCGGAAGAAATTCTGAAAATATGCTCACATAATCGCATAGAATTCCAGTTTAAGACAAACTACTGAATTAAAGAGAAGATTGACGATACTTTTGACTCGCGAGCATTTACACTCTATTTGTCATATGAACGTCTAATTTTAGGCATTTCCTAACAGACATATGATACCCCAAAACCGTGCCCGGCTGTCTGGCCTTTCGCCATAGCAATGAAAGAAAGGATGATTGTCATCGTCGTCCTAACGACCTCAGGAGACTGAGATACATAGTGACTTTTTGCGAGACCTTGGGCAAGTAAATAGCTCATGCTGATATTGGTAAGATCGTTAAAATATTGACCTCTTACAATATAACTTGCTCAATGACATCCTTGTTTATCATACGAAAGCGATCCAACTTGATTAATTGACAAAAAAAAAGTTCCGCTTTACGTTTATCAAATTTTAATTTCTCAGTAATTGCTAAGCTTTATCCGAGAACGTAACGCAAATTTAATCAAAAGCACAAATCATGAATTTGTTTTGCGCGTTTAACCGACAAATGCGCTCTCCAATAGCTCTCTTTTATTTTTTGTTACGGTTTATTTCCCTCACCTAGACGTATCATTTTATCAACGTGTGCGAAAACTTTTGGAAATAATCTATCGGAAAGCCAAAATTTAAAGGGATTAGTCATACAAGTCGCTATGCTATCTTTTTTTCCTACAAGAACATGATGTTAACTCCCGTAGGTTTGTCTCAACGAGCGAAAGGGAACAAATTCAAAGCGGAAGTCGTAAGCTCGATCACAGAAAATTTAGCAGATGAAACTTTCTATCTTACCTGTCTTTCCTCCGTACGCTTTCGCTTGGCCTAAAAAGGACCCATGTTGAAAATGTACCGAAATCCTTCCACCACCTCCACCACCCCCTTCGCCGCTACCCATTCCTCCAGAAGCTTTCAGTCTTCCGTTGCCTTCGATATCGTGGCAGTCTATCGAGATTCCGCCGCCACTCCCTCCACCGTCATTCTGCTGAGCGCGCTGACCGTTAGCCTGCACTGTTCCATCGATAACAAGCTTACGAGCGTATATCTTAAGGTAACCTCCACCTTTTCCGCGTGTACTTGGATCACCACCACCATTACTCCCGGGCTGCGTGGCAACAAAAGCGCTGCCATATGATTCAGCCTGAGATGCAGATAGCGGCGTTTTAGCGGCAGCACCAGCTCTGCCTCCGTAGCTCCCGCCAGATCTGCCAGTGCTTCCACTTGTCGTTGCACCTGCACCGGGATTACTCCCGCTCTCTTTGTTATAATCAAGAACTAATCTTCCATTTACTTGAATGTCAAACGTCTGTGAGACATTAAAGAAATGCTGTGAGGAGCTAGAGGTTGTCTCCAAGAAGACTTCAGTTCTGACGGTTAATGCTGTATAAGAATGAACTCCAGGTGCAAACTTGCATGGTGATGAGATGTCTGCGTTGGAGTTGCTGGTACACGGAGATAATGTTGCTACAACGTGAGAGAGAGTCACTAACAGCAACACTGCAACCGTAAGCGCATTTTTCCAACCAGTCTTAGACATATCAAACGTCCTTTAGTGATAACTCTTAGAGCCTTTTTGCGCCCAGAGGGCGACTACGTTTGAACCAGAAATGCGTTCGATAAATCAAAGAGGTTTTAAACAGACCAGACTTGCATGCAGAGTTGCCGACTCTAGTCACGTCTAAAAATTTCCTTAGTCTGTTTCAATGTCCCGATTGGCATTCAAGACAACTTTTGAGATCTCTTGTCAAGAAGCACTACAATAGCCACTGAATCATCGCAATTTTTTTATTGCGCCTGCATAAACATCATTACCCAAGCTATTAACATGGTCACGAACGCGTTAAATAAAATTCATAATGCCTGTTATTGTTGCTTAGCCATTGACCCGGAACAGACACTTGATGATTCAGGAATGACCAGTCGCACGTAGTTGTTGCATAAATCTTTATTTTCTTGTGTCCTACGTCTTTTAGATTTTGACTACCTTCAGAATTATTTGTTTTAACACGTTTGCTTTTTTTTTTCATAGCAAAGTCCTAGATCCTTTTAATCAACGCGACCATCTCAAAACTTGGAAACAATAGATATCACAACTTATTACCACCGACCGTGAACACTCATCCATCGGAAGATTTGGAATTACTCACACATGACTGACCTTTACAAATCATTAACTACATTTCCGTTTACCTCTCTTGGCAAAATATTTATTTGCTACGTGTTCTTTTGAACGGATTTTCAATTTCAAGGAACCATAAATGTAAGGCTGTACCGGAATTCCTTTCATTCGGCTCTTGGTTACAGAATTACGCCGAGTAAAATAACTTTAAAACTAAGTACCTTCTTTTTCGTTTAGAAATGTCACTCAGTTTTAAATATAGCATTACTTTATTGGTTCAAGGTCTTCGACAAAAGAGAAATGGCGTACTGGTAAAAAGGATTCAATTTCGTGAGAAAAGGGAAAAAGCGGAACATCAAATCTTGAGACGTGTATTTAGTATTCAGACAAAAAGCAAATTACGTCGAGCTCCTGACAGCTTGACTACTCCGTGTGTGAGACGTTTGTATCAATGTTGTGTAGCGTTATTTTTTCGGCGAAAAGCAGCTGCAGTTTAGGTGAAGTATACGGACGAGTGACTACGTGTAACAATTTCAAAGAAAGGTCGCATTTTTTTCTGAGGGAAGCCCCTCGTAACAAATTTTCAGGGGTTAGTCTGGTTGATCATACGTGCTGGAATTCAGTCCAGATTAGATCACCTCCTCTTATCCCCTCTACCCCCTGCTCACCACAACAACAAAAAAAAAACTATAATGCTCGTAATATTGTCGCTCTGTATTGTTTCGCAATTTCCTTTTGTTATTACTGTTAAACAAATGCTTTTATTTATATTCACAATGTCAATAAATCATTTATAATATGGCAAGGTAGTCCTGAGGTAGTCTGAGTGTTCTGATTGGTTCTTACTTGGTTGGTTTTTTCCGTACGGACCAATTCCACGGACAAAGTCATATGCGGTGTCGACTTGTCCGCAAAAGTCAGCAAATTCAAAATAAACAAGTTTGGTTCGAGTGCCATACAATAAACTATTTATTAACTTCGATTACTCGAGTCGTAGTGGGCAATACTGGTCCAACATAGTGTGTTCTTCCCCACCAAAAGCTAAAAATAGAATTGTTTCAGTCACAGCTAAACTTCAACTTCATGTATTGCAGCAAAATAATTTCTGGGTATCCTTGACACCAGTAGAACGTTTCCATCAACTGAGCCACGAAGACAAATGAGGAGTCTCGCACCAGTTCTTATCTTAGGTTTCGTCTAACTGAAGTTGACAGTTCACCGAACGACGGAAAGTTCTCAAAAAAGTAATGTATGTGATTCTCTGTGCAGCGAACAAAGCATAAGTTTGTTGAGCCTTTGACGTGATGATGACATTTTCTGCCGTACGATTGCGGGCTCGGCTGGAACACGTTTTCATGAGTAGCGGACGATTTTTCAGACGACTTTGAAAGGGTAAAAATTGGTCATCAAAGGTTTGTTTTAAGATTTTAATGGAGGAAAGGGTTTTAACTTGACCAAATTCAACATTCTGTAAACAAATTAGCCCAAAATAAAATGGTCACTATCATACATAATTTCCTAAGATACCGATGATTACTCGACTTGACACTGAAATGGTTCACACCTAATCGTAAGCAAGTAGTAAGAAATAGCATTGAGGATCATAACGTTACATTCACGTAGCCGATGACAAAGCCGAAATTAAATACAACACACGAAAACTTTCTACGGATTTGTAAAACTTAAAGAATTGCGAGTCCATAAATGTCTATAACAGCCTAGCCAACAGTTCATTAGAATCAGCTGACACATCAACGTGGCGTAGGCATCCCTAAAGTATGACTTAAAACATTTCCTAACATACAAATGGTAATTTGATTTATGACCAGAGCCTCTAAAAAACCTAAATGTTTTGCTTTTAAAGCCTGTTCGATTTTTTTCCACTCGTTGATTCAGTTTCTTGCGATTTTCTCTCATCGGTCCCTTTTAGCTTTCCTTGTCGACTTCTCCATCTTTCCGTCTGATTTCATCAGAGGCCTATCTAAATCTCTGTTGGTGTTGTCGATATTTCCAGGTTCGCTGTCAAATCTCGACGAACTGATATCATCAAGGGATAAAGACTCCTCGAAACCGGTTGCTATCTCAGAATCACTAGCCCAGCGATGCTCCACCTCTCTCTGTGCGTCCTTCAATGCCTGCATAAGCTCGTTGCCACCCATCACTGTGGCAAGACCAGCAACCAAGACTGAATCAAAAATCGACAAGGAGGGACTTTGAGTTCCAATCGTTCCAGATTCGGTGCCAAGACTTGATTGCCGACGGCTTTCGTCTCTGGAATCATCTACAGCCATCAATGTCATGTCGTCATCAAACATCTTTTCGTCGTCGCTGACAATTCGGTGACTGTTCTTGTTCGTATCTTCACTAACACTGTCGGATGAGTCGTCGAACTCACCAGTAGCATTGAGTTTATCAAAGACCAAGTCCTCTATCATCCGTTTTAGGCGATAATGCTGCAGAATGCTCACCAGTTCGTCGTCTCTGTACTTGTTAAGGAACTTCTCGAACACTGGAATGGAATCACAAACTTCGTCCTCGTTAAAATCCCAGTCCACTTCCACTAACAGCCGCATCAGATTTTTCTTCTTTTCTGCGCAGTTTTCCAATTGGAGCCACCGAGTCACCCTCGTATCTTCAAACACGATGTTCCTCATGAAGTGAGTTGCATTGTCTGCATCATCGGCGATCTTATCTAAGTTAGCCTCAATTGTACTCTTAGGCTCTTTGTAGACTGGCGGAATGGGGTGGCCATCTGTCCTGCCAAATGTCTCCTTCAGCCGATGAACTATGAAGTCAACTATTTCGTAATCGTTAGACTGCTTCTCAACATCGCTGCAAACTTCAGCAAACGCATCGTTGATGATGGAAAGAAAAACGTTCAGAAGAACAAACAGCATGGTCACTGTGTAGGTATAGAAGAAAATTGGTCCAAGAATCCGATTGGCAGTAGACAGTTTCTTTAATGTGAACTTGCCGAGTAATGTATCCATCAAAGAGGCGCAGCTTCTCCAAAATGTCCCAAAGCCTCTCATTTCTTGCCCAAAAACCAAGCATGCAAGAAACGCAAAAGCTAGAAACGCGAGTGCAAACATAACCATGAATGACATCAGCTTAGAGAAGGACCTTTTAAGGACTTGTTGTAGCATTGACATGCGCCTGTTGAACCGCAAGAGACGAAACATTTTCAAGAACGATAGAAACACGATAATGCCCATGATACACTTGAGCCACTCGTCCAAGAAGGCTGTGTAATGGAAACTGATAAAGCCACCTCGGTCAATTTTCATATCCCTTAACGCATCTTTGGTGAATTTTAGCCTTGCGAAGTGCATTCCTACTGCAGAAAGCGAGAGAAGGGTGACAAGGACTTCCAGAATGTTCCACGGATTCTTCAGGTGTACCCTTCCTCTTTTCAACAGCAGTTTGACCTCCTTAACCACAAAAAACAAGGTAAACAAGAAGTACACAACCTCGCATGTTATCACGAAGACCTTTTCGCCTCCGACGTACCTGAAGAGACGGAGAGTAAGAATGCTAGGATATGGCGACAGACTTCCTGTTGGGAGTTGTTCAAACAGTAGAGTGACAACACAGAACAAGTTGGTGTTTGCGTTGTAAATAGCAAATTCAGAGAAGAGAGCTCTCGTGTAGCGGTCCAGCCAGTTACTTACGCTAAGATGTTTTATTATCTTCAGCAATTCATCGACATCCTGATCATTTGGGAATGTCTGTACATATCCTGCAACAACAAGACAAGATACATTTTTAGACGATTCATCCTTTCTTTACACTACACATCTATCTTCCTGACAAAATAATATCACGATAGGAAGGCGTAACAGAAAGACCAACGTACTTTAGAAGTAACTGGTAAGCTAGTTCTTCCACTCGTGACTTCAACCTACTGTAAGTTTTTCCGTCGGTTTGTCTAAGCATTTGGTCGTTCAGTCCTTCCTCGATCAATCTTTCTGATGTACATTATACAATTCTCACTTGCTGTAAATCTCAAAAATTATATCCTCCTTATCTTGGTAAACAGTTCCTCCACTATTCGTTGGTTAAAAAGGGAACTAGCGTGAACATACGCAGTTCATACCTCCACCGCTATAAGTTCCCTTATACCCCCAGTATGGAAATGTCTCAAGCTCCTCTCCGCTTCTGTAGACCCAAGGATCTTTCAACTGAGAAGTTTGCGTGGGAGAGGAGGGGGATTGAGTTTCAGCTGCTGTGGTTGGTGTAGCCTTCCAACCCGGTAAATACCAGCCTTGGTCCTCTTCTTTTATGCTGTAGAGGTCGTTGCACTCGGTAATGTCGTGTGAAACGCGTTTGTATACACAGGTATCTAAGAAAGAAAGTCATTTTTATCTTTATAATGATAAAAAAAAATACGCACTGGTGGAATACTCCGTTTCAAGCACTACATCGGGAATGGTTGGAGTCAAAGTTGTCCCTAGTTTACACCTATTTCTCGTTAGACAATAGGGTGCACCTTGAAAACGTAAGACTTTCCTGGTTATTTATAGTCATTCATAATAATTCTCTGTGACTCCCCCGAAAAGTACCCCTGGTCTATGAAAGACTAAAAAAAATAACTTACCTTTATTAATTCTCAGTTGCCTTAGCCGCGCCACACCCAAAAGAAAAGCGGTCGGAATGTCTGCAAGATAGCCCTTTTGATAGCGAGTCGAGTTATTGTAGAAAACTTCAGGCTTTAAAGAAGGAATGAATGTCTCACTCAACCATCTCCAGTAGTGCTTTATCCCGTTTACCTTGTAAAGGAAGTAGTAATTAAATTAGTTTTTCTCGCCCTTCGATAATTAACCCGAGACAGTTACACTAGCGTACTCGTATGCCTTGAAGTGAAGAGATAAATATGAGAGTTACCGTGACATTGGATGTAACTCAGCTCACTGGCTTACCTTGTCATAAGTTAGGTTCCCACTGTAACCTGCCTTTTCAAAAGTATTCCTCATGTATTGGGTCACCCGAGATGTATCTAGATCCCTGTTGATATAGCTTATGGTAAGCAGAACCAACAAGAAGATAATGTACCAGGAAATTTCTTGAATAATGGAGCTCATCTGCTTCTCCTTCAAGCGGAGCTGACGGGCAATCTCCAGCTTAGCCTCTTCTGGTGGCCTGTCGTTTATGATCTTCCTCACTGTCTTCTGTGTCTCAGGATCAAGGTCTGTGAGGTCTGTGTGTAGCCACTCCTCGTCCTTTGCGAGACCATTGATATCCGCGTATGAATCATCCTCGGCCTTCTTCGGATCTTTGATGAGGAGGGCAAAAAGGATTGCAAGTATAAAGACTTTGATTGGTTGTGTTAACAAGACATCTTGCAAGAAGCTAACGGCCATCGAAGATAGCCACTCTACCGATTTTTCAGGTCCGAACTGCATTCCGTACATTATCACAAATGATCCCGATGAAGTCACGGATAGAAATGCAAGGCCGTATGCTAAGCGCACGAACCAATGCGGGAGTCCTTTGCTGGCAGGAGCGGTCTTTTCTTCTCCAGTCGTTTCGACGTCAACATTGTCGGTGTCCTTAGTGCCGGTTTTCACTTCGTATTGATTTTCCTTCGGCCTAGCTTTCCGAAATATTGTGGCAATGATGAGGTTCAATGGGAATACTACCAAACTGCTCATGATTCCTATCGAAACTGACCGGATGGAGAAGCTAAAGCCCATGATCTTGATGGCATTTTTTGTCGTCTCGTTTTTGCCTACTTCGTAAAACATAGCATTTGCAAGCATTGTGCACAGTAAGATGGACAAACAACAAGTCAGGCGTTGAACTCGAGTAAAAGTGCTTTGAGTTGGCCGAGCCACAACCGAAAACCAAATGTGACCATCGGTGAGATTCTTCCTCACTTCAGACGCGAAAAGGACGTTGAATTTAGTCAGTTCCTTGTTAGAAGCTGGGAAGATAGTCCTCTCAATTTTGCCGTCACCTTCCTCGACTGCTAGCCAGTCGTCACAAACAAACCACCACCTCTGATCAGTTTGTATGTCTTGGATCATGATGCGCAGAAGATTCCACGATGGATAGGTCCCACCGTTATTGTGCCACACGCGAATCTGTTTCAAGTTTCCAAGCGATTGAGGAACGATCAAAAGAAAGGCGTCGACACCACCTAGGGAAGAGGAAAATTTAAACATGACTCGCTAATTATGTGCATTATCCATTTTTATCTTTTTCAAACCTTTCTTTTCAAAAAAGACGTTTTCGCTATAACTTGACACCCTAATGTGATACAAATGAAGCCATAACCAATATATGGCCTCAGTCGAACAACGGCAACATTACGGCAGAAAGATCATGCTCTTGCATTCCTCGTTAATTTCGACGTCATTTTTTTGGTATTGTTCTTTATCAGATTGGGAGGGGTTCCCCATTATTTGCAACAGGCAAACAAAGCGAGATCACAAACCTGTCCTAAAAGTTTTTCTTTTTGGATCTTTCAGAAGTCGAGGTTCGCTGTCCCCCAGGGCGCCAGTGAGTACGATGGATACTTCAGCACTTGTGCCAGCCCCGCGAATAAAACCGGTATGGACTTGAATCTGGTAGCAATACGTATCCCGAGAATCGTTATCAGGGAGTGGAGTTACTCCCGCCTGCGAAAATAACGCAAGGATATTTCAAATAAGCAAGGCAACTAAATCCCTCTGACATTTAAACTTAGTATTTGGAATTAATGGCTACAGTCAGTCGAACTGTGGGCGGGTAAATTGTTTTATGTAGTCTGACTTATTCGTAACTTATTACACATTAATATTAATAAACTACAGAATTACACAGGCAAATAAAAACCAACGATATAATGTTCCGACGTATCAGCGACCTCATTGCGCTTTTATCATGCAATGAATAAAAAGAGCGAGTTCAAAAGAGTTAAGACGTGTAAATATACATAAATAAATCTAAATAAAAATAAACGCTTTAGCGCGGACCGAATCTAATTTTAACCGCGGTTAAATGTGCGTAAACATTACCATAACGAATAGTGTTGAAAAAATGCAGGAACAAATTTGACTGTTTAATTAACGAAATGCTGTACATCAAACAATTATAACTACGTTTACGTGTAGAAACTNACAATGATTCAACACGGCAAGGAAACAAGGCAAAAATTCTTATTCTTGTTCATAATTACTTGCAATGGTTGATTACAACAAAGTGATTACCTTTAACGCGTCGTTTTTATCGGCTCTTCGGGCGAAGATGAGGCACAGAAAGTAAAGACCAAGAATTGTACACACTGCGATCAGTGCGTGAGGGCTCTGAAGCAGCGTTTGCGAACTAAAATTATTTAAGTCCAAACGGTTCGGTAGCACAAAGAAATCGCTTCCGAATGTTGTCAGGTGTGATGCAAGGCATTCGACGTGCGTGAGATTTGTTTTTCGCCCCACCTATCACAAAAAGAGATAATAACAAGAACCAACCACACAGTAAGGCTCTGTGATGTTCTTATTCCTCATTAGAAGTTAATTGACACTCAATGTTTTATAGTCCCCTCTTTATACTTTGTTGGTGACGACTTATTCCCCCTCCGTTCCCCCTGAAAACCATGTGATCCCACCCAAAATCCTTTACCCCCCCCTCAGGAAGAAACATGACTGGTCCTTCAGCAAAAATGTCTAAAATTACAGCCAAGTTCCTTACCTTGACTCCCTCTGTTGACCACGAATTATTTCCCTCGTCGAAGAACATACAGCGTGACCGATAAACAGAGGTTTTATAGTTTATTTCATCAGTGAATATTTCGTCAGGGAGCCATGTGAGATTTTTGGGCTTCTTAAAGATGACCTTGGCGAAGTATTTTCCAGCAACAGTCAAATTTAGGACATCATCAGCCAAAAGTAGTCTGTGGGAGTATGACTGAAGAGTTGAATTCGACAAATTTGCCGCCTTGCTTTGTAAAAGGTAATCCTCAGCCAAGAAAGTAGCGTTGAAGTCAAACAAATGCTGGGATATGTTTGGTTCGCGGCCCATGGTGACAAGTATCTCAACATCGACAGGAGCCTCTGGTGTGACTTCAAAAGTGACGGTGGAAGTATTGTCTTTAATTTTAAATGAATACACATCGTGTTGGGACAGTAACAGCTTTCTCTCAGCCTTAAGAAAACGTCTGTCCAACTGCGCGCGAGTCAAAGGGATTACGACACTGATTTCTTTCCCTGTCGTCAGATATTTCACTCCATACTCATCTTTGCGTCTGTTACGTGTGGTATCTACCTTGTACAACGAAAAGCTTACGAGTTTGCTGTCATTTAAGCGGCCAGAGTCGTTTCCTTCGGGAAACAGATTTATCGCAGAAAGTATGCTCTAAGAAAAATAAAACGAAGGAAAAAACGAATTGGTTCACTGACTATTTAGAACTTTGAAGGGTCAGTTACTATATCTAACTCAACTTACCACTTGATTAAGGATTTCCTCATCTCCTAACTCTAGTGAACCTTCTGCAATCTTTACCTCACCGTCACCAACTTTGTATGGCTTCTTTCCAATAAACTCAACACCTTCAAGTAAAACTCCCATTGAGAGAACTTCATTATCGATAATCGTTGGCTCCTCTCCATCGACCATAGAAACTATCAGAGCTTCCGACAGTCTATCAAGCGTCCCAATGACTTTCCCTGTTGTATTTGTTTCAGTTGTGTTCGAGTCTTCAACCGGCAACTGAAAAACATAGTGCTCTCTTAGATCAAAGCTTATGAAACGAAACGAAACCCTTTAAAAGTGGCGCCTAAATTACCTTCCACGTGATAGTTCGTGTGAAGCTTTGGAAGACTGATGCTCAGCGCGCTGGACTCCGGATCGAAGGGTGCGGATATGATCCCTGGCCGGGAGCTGGGTCACGCTACCAGGTGCCTGGGCAATTCACTTTATTCTCAAGCTATCCCTCTCCAGCCAGGAGTTTTAATGGTTATCGTTGAACTGAAGGGGGAACTTAACAAATTTTCTATGTGTTATCTGGGATGCGATCTCGTTTCCCCCTGAAGCCCCTTGGAGGAGGCAAGCACTGCGAGAGTACAAAGTCGTCGATTAACGAAACAAGGTAAAGCCACTCCTGCCAACGTTTCATCCGATCGGCTGGCCTCGTACGCATAAACTGCGAGAAGCCCTCTCGCCCTCGCACTATCTAGACACTGTGATTTACCTTATCACGGCGACCATTGCAAAAAAATCCAAAAATTCTAAACCGGTGCGACTTGCATCGATTCCAGGATGAAATGATATCGGTAAAGAAAAAAACATTTTCACAGAAATTATCAACTTCACACTTCTGCGACTAAAATCTCAGCGAAGAGTGGCAGCAACCTCTCATTTCAGTTTGTCCTGTCGTCTCTTCTTTTTCGCAAAATATACTTGCATTGCATTACGCAACATCATTATGATCTTCGACTGAATCAAACGCTTATATTACCTTTTCACCTCCGCGGGTCAAGTTCACCGTTTTGATGAGATTAACGGCTCCGTTTAGCACTGCTGCAGATGCTTCTCTTAATTCCTCGCTAGGCACTCCTTGCACTCCTTTGCTGGTGGCAATTTCCAAGATTGTTTGACTTGCGTTGTTATAGAGGTCGGAGAGTTTTTCCTGTTTGAAAATAATACGACGAAACAGACATAGAGGTTTACCAT